TTTGCCATTCCACAGCAAATCTGTGACAATTGCATCTGTATGTACACAAAACGTAACCCAATAAATTGTCCAAAACTAAAAGTGGATTTGGGTGTTTATAACTGCACAGCCATTTGTGAGCATAGGCTTTTGCCAGCTAACGCAAGAAATTCATAAAATGTAGCTATTTTGAAGATGACATAAAGAACCAGGTCATACACACGGGGAAAATTATTCTATAACCGGAATTATTCGAATATCAGTTATCTGATCTATATTCTTAAATTAGGCATGAAAATTATTTGGGATTTCTAAATTCTATTGAACAAACCTAGCTATTCAATTATCTGATATTCAATGAACCAAATTTCACTGTACACAAGGTGGCTTTATGAACCTTTTGTGATATTTTGGGGTACCTTAGGATATATTCGAGGAAATGATTCCCATTAACCAGAAAGCTTTGAGCCTAAATATAGGTACAGAGTTAAATACTGTACTTCACACTCAGGAGTTACTGCAACTGCATTGAAATTGACAGATATCTCACCTGAATAAGTGGAGGCATGATATCATGGCATTAACACAGAATCCTTGCAAACCTTAGCCCTGTCCTGAGGCTTGAGGGACCAAATGGCCTTTTCTGGTTCTTACGATTTATATACCTATGATTTATAATACATTCCTAATGAGACATAGAACAGAAATCAACTTAGTGATTGGACTGCAGTGTCATTTAGAGATTAAATATTTACTGAAGTTAGCATAACAAGAAGAAATGGACAACACTTGACACTTCCTATCAAAACAATCAGTCGGTAACTTGCTCACATTTCTTTGTACATCAAAATACCAATAAATCATGCATAATGATAAAGGGAATATTTACACCAGGAGCATTTAATGAAATAAATAAGGTAACTCTTTTTGAGAAAGCATTTCTTCCGTAAAAAACCAGTAAAAACATTACAATGTAAAATTTGTGGGTAAATGGCAGTCATGTGTATGCTTATTATGCCTTGGCTGAATGAACATTTGGATGAAAGACCGAATCTGGATTAACTAATAGTACCTCAAAAGGAAGATGAATAACTATCACTTTGGGTATCAGATTATGATGAGATAAAGGTTTTCCATATCTCGGATCATTACTTTATTGGATAGCCAGTTGGCCAGTGCACTTTCAGTGACTTGATCTGAGTCTAATTAAAATGGACAAGTGTTTCCGCAATTCTCAAAGTTATGTATACTTAATAATGACCTGAGGATGAGGTGACATTGATGGTGAAGGTCAGAAGGGAAATAAGTAAACTATTTATCTTGATTCTATTTGTCATTGGCAATAAAATAAATGATCCATTATTTGGGATTCCTAACTATTGTGTTCTGTTTTTAGACAAGACACCTTGATGTTCAAGATTGAAAGGCTCATAAATAAGATCCTAATCAATGTTTAGTTATTTGACCAATTCTGAAATGACAAAAAAAATTGTGAGTAAATGCACTTGGTCATAATAGCTCCATTTATCAATAGTCTAAAGGTAGAAATTAATTTCAGTCAAATGACCCTGACTCATATCCTGCTTATCCTGTTGCCACATTTGTTTTGGCAAGCTGTGCTCTCAATTAAGACCACTTTAGAAAGTAGAGTGGCCATATCTTTGATTAAAATGGTTACTCAACTTAAGTGAAAGATCTATTCTATTTAGTTTGGCAGAAAATCAAAGCATACCGAGGTCACTTTGATGTTTTTCAAACCCATGATTTTAACGTCACACTGCATACATAAATTCTTCACTTTGAAGACATGTGGAATCCTGTAGCTCAGTGGTTAGAGCACTTGTCTCGCAAGTGAGACTTGGGTTTGAATCCTGGCAGGGCAAAATGTTGGGCAAGATTCCTTACGCCTGTTTACCTAGCAGTAAGTAGGAACCCGGTTGTTAGTCGATTGTTGGATCGCTTTTCTGGGGGTAATAAAGCCTTGAAAAAAAAATTGATCACTTCAATCCATGACTGATTGTAGGACACTGCTGTGCACAATTAGCTGCCATGTTTCACCCACAAAAATGTACAGTCAATTCACTTTACACTATATTCTGTGAAGTGCTTTGAGACATCTCGAAGATGTGTTAAGGAGCTGTATCAAATGCAAGGATTATTATTATATGTCTGCTACCCTTCCCCACACATAAGATTACTCTTGACTACAGTACTTACAAATCAGTTTGGGTTTGCTTTCTGTGGGAGCATGTTGGTTAATGTTTATTTCTTACTATTTCGAGCAATCAAAAATAAGTATAAAGGAAACAATATATAAAATTCTGTGCATGGGTTTAGCCACGGATCAGAAGTTATTTAAATAATCTTCAGTGATGAAACAACTTTCCAAAACAATAAAGAGATTTTCTATTGTAAATAATGTCTGTCAGTTTCCAGTCCAATCTTTGTTTTCTAGATGCTTTTCCTGGCTACTTCTGCAAACTACTTCCGTAACCAATATTAACAACCAAAATTATTTCCATGCACATTGTGAAGTTCATGAATTTGCAAAGTGCATGGAAATGGAAATGTTTTCAACAAAGCTGAGTACAAAAAGACCAACAACTCCCAGCAGCTCTTTACTGTCCAATTGATTGGCACGTCTGTCAGATTTTATCTGCTTGATCAATTTCTCCAGTGACACTTTCTCTCCAGATGCAACATATTGTGCCCCCGAAATGTCAATGCCACCTCTTTACAGCTCAAATGAGTTTTGAAAATTGTGCGAATCGGGAAATAATACAATACACACACACTCTCTCTCTTTCTGCTCCAGCCCACTGCTCAAACCTGCAGTATGAGGTGAAAGAAGCACAAATATTAACTCGAAATTCTAGTATAAACTAGTACAAGGGTACATACAGTAGCATTTTTAGATCAAGCTACAAAACATAACAGTGATTTCTGAGAAGTAAGTTTTCTCTGAGGTCAACTAGCAGCAAAAAGGTTATTTGTTACTTATTTGTCTATTATTGTAAGTTTTGTTTTACAGTTCACACAGGATAAATATCTAGCAAAAATAGTATAAATGTATTTGGCCGTCGTTAAATTAACCCTTTTCATTTCAAAATGGAAAATTGAACTTTGCATTAGAGTAACCAGGATATGAGTCATGGCCATTTGGCTAAAATTAATCTCCATCTTTAGATCATTGATAAATGGATCTATTGTGACTCACTGCATTTTTCTTTTCAGAATTTCAGAATCGGTCAGATAACTAATCGTTGCATAGGATCTTATTGCGAAGCATTTTAAACTTGGACATCAAGGTGTCTAGTGGTCTGAGACGAATGTCATTCAGTTTGTTATATCGTAAATAACAAGGTCGAGGACTCGCTAAAATGGGTGAAAAGCTTCTCCACGTATTTGAGAATCACCCACTGAGGGTATTGTACAGCAAACACTGATGATGAATCCTACCTTGTAGTTACAAAACATTCACCAAGTTGCAGAACTTTCTCCTCAATTTTAAACCACACTTCGAGTCTCTGATTTAATACAGGATTGAATGGATAATCAAATGTACCAAAACAAGGCGATTGAGAGAACAGGAATCGTGTTTGAACACATAGTCCAGCCGACAAACGAGTTAACCGCACTCTGGTCAACGAATTCCGCGGGGAATAAACTCACCTGAATCGGTTACAACTTGATAGTGATTACTTTTCTTGCTGTTAGTTCGAAGTTGTAAGGCATTGAGATTTCAGAACAAAATGCCAGACGACTGTCTTAAGAGTAATTACATTTGAGAGAATGATTTTCAGTGCCACCTGCTCGGTGATGCTGACAGTGACAAGGACTTGGATTGAGTGGCCAATTGAACATTGATTACTGCCTCCCTCTTCCCCGTCAAAAATACAGGTTTGAACCTTTCCAGCATTGTTTTCTAATTGTAAAATGTTTCTAGCTCAGGTCAAGCAAAGCAAAGCAAATGATAATAATGAATAATAACTTACTATTTTCCCGAACAGCAGAAATGACCAGGGGTTTAACATTAAATGCCACATTTTTAAACGTTCAAGTTAACAATATACCGCTGTGGTGTTAGTTTGCACTTAATGGCTACATACTTTACCTACATAGAGAGAAATCCACTAAAGGAAAAATTAAGTTTATTTTACCTAATGCTCAGATTAATCCAGATAAGAAAATCAAAGAATGCATTAGACTGGTTTAGAAATTTGGTACCATCAACATTTAAATAAAGGATGCTATTGAAAGTAGCACAGAAGCAAGCATTGGAGCAAGTCTCAAATCAGTTTTATTCTTTGCTTGTAGTATCACAGGGAGATAAACACGAAACCTGTGTGGTTTAATTGGCGAGACCAGAGGCAGGTTTACTGTAACGCTGTCAAAGAAGGATTGGATGGAGTACATAATAAGTACACTTAGGAGTGCTCCGTTTCAAATCTATTCATCAACTGGTAATAGCATAACTTTGAATTCATCAGCATTATCAATCATTAAAGTCCAACACCAATAAACTAATTGAACTCATTGAAGTCGTGTGAAGAAATACGTGACAAATATGCAGCCTTACATACGGTATAAAGTTGTATCCGTATAAACTTCTGCTACGTCGCTTTCTAAAACTAAAAGCTGCAAAAGATGCGTTTGGTCTCATAAATCACCCGGTCAAGTGTTTTATTCCTCACTGTGGAATAATCTTGTGCAGACGTTACTGTCAAGTCGCCATATCGCCAGCCTTAAATAAGCGTGGAAGTAAAATGCAACTCAAGAATAAGATGACACGTCTGAAAAACTGTACCGAGAGCCTCAGAAGAGCTCTGAGCTTTTCGTCGCTGGGAATAAAATCCCGGGCAGATAGGCTTTTTATTGCAGTTCTTCCAGTTATTACAGTTCGCTGCTCCCACTCTGGTCATTTAGTACTGAGGCACTGTCCCCGTTGTAATTGGAGAGAGAAAAAATCCACGTGTTAAATTAGCATAATAAACGCATTTAACATGCAATCAGACGGGGGCAGAGCAACTGCAAGTCACAAGCTTTACAAAACCCTAGGAATCAGCAGGGATGCCTTACAATTGGTCCAAATGGCAGTGTGCCCAGCAACCGCCAGAAGAGCGGAAGACGGTTAAGTGAACATTTCAAGTGGTTTTAAAAAAAACCTCTTACAGCCGCAGCTTCGCACTCATCCTCGAGATCCGCTGATGTGAAAGCTTCCCCGGACACTGCAATCTTTCAGGTATTAGTTTCAATGATGCTTTTGCGTGGACTGTGAACGAACAGCGACAGAATAACAGCAGGACAGGATCAGAGGGAGAGAGAGAGGGAGAGAGAGAAGGGGGTTCCTGGTGACTCCCTGCTGTCAGAAGTGAGATCTCTCCTCTACTTCGGCTTCTGATATCGCGGACTAGGATTGCAAACGTTATGAATACTTACTGCAGAATAAAGTAAACGGAGTTAATCCATCTGTGCCGTTGCGCTTGACCAGGACGCAGACAAAGCCGCACCGAGAGAGACCGAGAGAGAGAGAGAGAGAGAGAGAGGAAAAAAAATAAACGCGCAGTGGGGGCTAAATGTCCTGGTGTTAATTTTCCTGCATCGGTCCGCGAGAGAGAGAGAGAGAGAGAGAGAGAGACGAGAGACTGGAAGAACAAGTCCCATCTGTGCGAGGAAAGTTTCCCCCGATCACCAGCGGAGATCATGGCTGCAGAGATGACGATCGGTTTGGCCAAGTCGGCCCTGGTGAAGATTTCCGACGTGGTTGGCGAAAGAACGAAGCAGATAAGTGGTGCAATGCAAGAACCGCGGCGCCAGAGAAGAATTATTCTCTTTATAGTGTGTATTGCACTCTTGCTGGACAACATGCTGTACATGGTAATTGTCCCAATTATACCAAATTACATCGAAACTATCAGATCTTACAAACTGATATACGTTCCAACGACTGTCAACGGAACCAACGGTTCAATTGTCAACACGACGATGAAACCCATCCGATACAGGTACCCCAATAAAAACGAAGACATCCAAATAGGAGTGCTCTTTGCATCCAAAGCTATTCTTCAGCTGCTTGCCAACCCGTTGACTGGCACTTTCATTGACAGAGTGGGGTACGACATCCCTTTATTCATCGGGCTCATCATTATGTTCTTTTCCACCATCATCTTTGCCTTCGGTGAAACCTATGCCACGTTATTCATAGCAAGAAGCCTCCAAGGGCTGGGCTCTGCCTTTGCAGATACCTCCGGGATTGCCATGATTGCTGACAAATACACAGAGAAGGCTGAGAGGAGCACAGCCCTGGGCATCGCCTTGGCTTTCATCTCCTTTGGAAGTTTGGTGGCGCCCCCCTTTGGTGGCATATTGTACGAGTTCGCGGGCAAAAATGTCCCCTTCCTCATTTTATCTTTTGTTTCCCTTTTGGACGGCTTATTATTGCTCACAGTCATGAAACCGTTTTCCAACAGGACACGTGAAAATATGCCACAGGGCACACCTATCTATAAACTTATGGTCGATCCCTACATTGCTGTGGTAGCTGGTGCTCTCACGACTTGTAACATCCCTTTAGCTTTCCTGGAGCCCACCATATCATCCTGGATGAAAAAAACTATGAACGCAATCGAATGGCAAATGGGGCTAACGTGGCTACCGGCGTTTTTCCCACATGTCCTGGGCGTGTACATGACTGTAAAACTAGCTGCCAAATATCCCAATTACCAGTGGTTCTACGGGGCTTTGGGCATGGTCATCATTGGTGGCAGCTCATGTTTAGTCCCAGCCTGCAGAAATTTTGAGGAAGTCATCATCCCGTTGTGTGGCCTCTGTTTTGGGATCGCTTTGGTGGACACCGCCCTGTTACCCACCCTTGCCTTTCTGGTCGACGTTCGCCATACATCTGTATATGGCAGCGTGTATGCTATAGCCGATATCTCCTACTCGGTTGCTTATGCCCTGGGACCCATCGTGGCCGGACAAATTGTCCACACTTTGGGCTTTGTGCAGCTCAACCTCGGCATGGGCTGTGCCAATGTCCTCTACGCCCCTGCCCTCCTGCTGCTCAGAAACGTGTGCCAAATGAAGCCTTCGTATTCGGAGACAAACATGCTTCTGGAGGATGGGCCCAAAGGGTTGTACGACACCATCAAAATGGAGGAACGCATGGCAGGTAAAACAGGCCAAGGAAGCTCCATACATAATTATACCATGTCTGGGATCGTGGATGACAATAACGCAGAGGGCTACAGGAGAAAACACACGGGACCAGGTCTGTCTGAGGAAGATGATTCATCTGGCAACGAATATGATTAGGACTTTAAACCATCCGATGATCAAACAGTCCAAGGACATGGATGAATGAAGTTAAAACATAATATTGCCATATATAGTGTACTGGATGTCCAATATAATCTAATGTCATCGCTGTTGTGCTTTTTTTTTGTATAATTTGTCATTGATTGTTCAAGAGATTTTAAAGGAACTGAGAATGTGCTAATGATGGACTTGTAATGAAATGCATCAAATAAGAATCCTATCCTTTAGAGTTAACAGCAATATTATCAATCTGTTTAGATGGCGTACAGTGAAACGTCTGCTCTAATTGAAGCTGTGTGCGTGAGTATTAGATTGTGTAAAAAGGGTAAATAAATAGTTGTATGTATTCCAAAACTTAATTTGAATATTCAGGGACTTGGCGAGAAACAAATCGTATTGTACATAGTGTATGCTGTTTAGGTTGTCCCTTATGATTTGACATGAAACAAAATCGATTGTGTATTTTTCTCTGGGAATGAAACTGTATAGAATTATTTTGACCGATGTGTGCTGCTATATTATAAATGCATTACGTCAGATTAAAGTCTGGATAATAAGGCGATGGTTGCGTTTGAATAATTCATCACGAGTGTTCTTCAATGCGTGGCTTATGTCGCCTGGAGTTTTGAACTGCATCAAGGTATAATACCCAAATTTACCAAATCACAGATTTATATCAAACATTGAGTTCGCCAGACACTGGAGTACATTTTCTACTTTCGCGTATGATACCAGCATGTCCAGTTCGACATTACCCACACTTGAAAGGCTCGTCCACTTGCTTTTCGGTCAGTTAAAGGCTAACTAAACCCACCGATTTGGAGGGAGGCTGCAATACGATACTAACTTCCAGCACCGCGCATTATATTTGAGTGACTCGTTGTTTCTACGCGAACGTATTCACGGGGATAACATTCAGGGCACATCAACTGGTCTCCAATACTTCCCATTTATAGCAAACACAAGAGGTATAAATTGGAGGCAAAGATCGACTCTGTGACCACCAGCTATTTATTGATGATCGCTTCACCGTGAGTTTCACACCAACGAAAAGCAGACTGTGGCTATTCCGATCGAGAATGATCGTCCAAACACCCCCAATTTGCGCAGATCACGAAGGGAATATTCATTCATGGAAATAAATGTGCCATAACGTCCATTTAAAACGTATTTTTTTTCCTCTCTTACACACACACTCGATTCGAGAAGCAGAAAGTGGCCCCCGAGCACACGGCACATTCAAACCCACGATATAACGACGACAATCGCGATAATTTATAACTGTGGTCATTCGGAGCCAACTATAAGATCCGTACCATTCGCACGTCACATTTTTTGATGGGTCGCCCACTTTTATTCTGCAAAAGGGAAGTTTTTTTTCCCCTCTGAAGCGTGCTATCACTATCCATACATCTTTCTGTGATCTTTTGGTGCAAATCTAACCTTGTCCAACACGTACCTCCGCTCAGGACCTGCGAATATTCACAGTTTGCTTGGCATTCACGGGGCACTTTCCATCGACATTGCAACCGGCAATGGGCGAAGAAGACAATTCACGCGATATCAAAATTGACATCATTACAAAAGAGACGAGAAGTATTATTTTTTTTATTCAAAAAGCGACTCACTTTCTGCAAATCACTTTATGAACGGTGGAAGTCGTCGGCTGAAATCAAGTCAACGTAAGAAAAAGGATCAAGCAATCCGTTTGCTCGTTTGACGTGGCGACAAACAATAAAATAAATGCTGTGTACAGGTATTCAACAACAACGTTAGCAAAGTACATGTGTATTCGACACTGGAGTGTAAATCATTGACTGTCCAGTGCCTTGCAGGTCGGGAGGACGTCCCGAGGCGCTGGACAGTCAATGATTTATACTCCAGTGCAAATCCTCGACAGTCCAGCGCCTTAAGGCGCTGTCGGTGTTCAACAAGTCCGTTGTAAAATATTTGCCTTAAATTGCGCACACGACTCAAACGAACATATCGTGACAAGCTGTTATGAAGCAGGGGAGGTGTTTAAGTGAGTCCAAACATTTTAATTATGTGTATGTAATGAATGCACCACATATACTGCCATGAATGATGAAAGGAATCGTTGCTTTCCTCCCCTTGGGCCACATACAGCTCTTGCAGGACGGCCCTTCATCTTCACGATGGAAAATAATAGTTTTAATTAAAACCCGGAACAGCTAAATCAATACTTCGGAAGGGCATTATTATTTATGATATATTTTTTTCTCTTTAAAAGACTCCTGTAACTGTGTTCCCAATGATATTCAACGAATCTATGTTATTGTTAGACCATCGCGCTCCGGACTAAAAATAAGTCTTCCCAGTATAAGTTTTGAGGGGGTTAATTTAATATCTCCTATATTAGATACATGGAAGCCACACACAAATCCATGCACCAGTATGTGCCTACGTATAGACCCCCACATTATATATAATAAACAAGTGTGTTTGAATGATAGAAGGCACGGCATCCCAGAAGCTGACCACTCCAACCCCAGTTCCCTCGCTCATTCTCCCTTTCATTCTCCCTTTTCAAATGTTTTTCAGTGTTGTTAGTGACTCGGCCTCGGTAGCAACTTACCACAAAGAGCTGCATATTCTAACAGCCCTCTGCGCTCACGTATTTCCTGCAATGTATATATATATATACATATATAAATGTATATACACATGTATATTTCCTGTCCCCTTAACTAGTTTAGTGAGATTACTGAGTTGATACCCGAATTGTTGCTGTGTCGGTGACCAGCTGGAGTTGGTACCCTGGTTAGCTGGTTACCAGCCAGCGGACCTTTCACAATATTCCCCGACCCGTCTCCTCAAAACTTTTCAGCGTTTTAAGCGTGGAGGTTTTGCAATTTTTTTTTCCTGCAACGTTGCAAGAAAGTTTGCCGAGTTGAGATCGGATAAAACTATCGAGTGATTTATACTGGAAAGTGAATTGATAACCCGCTGTGGGCAGAAGAGACCGATCGCATCTATTGCAGCACTAGGCGGTGCTATCGCTTTTAAGAACCGCAGCGAATCGGGAGACAGGGAGGGGTTTAACCATCCCAAGTGAAAGTACAGCCCAAATATCCTCACACACTATGCTCAGACTCCACAGCAATTAAAGCAGATCCGGTTTTCCAGCGGGAAAAAAAAGTAATACGAGTTCGAACTCCGGATCAACAGCGAAAGAGTTTGCCCCCTTTTACCCAGAATTTAGGGTCGACGATCAACTCGGGGGAGGGGGGGACATGGCCGTCTTTCTGTTAAATCGCCAGTAGCTCGATATTTCATCTGAGGCCACATCACCGAACATTCAAAAGGTAAGACTGGTATTGATCGATTCAAAGGTGGACCTGAGGAGGAACATTAATTACGCGCTGTCGTTTGCTTTGTTGGGAGTCATTACTACGGTGCGGTGTTTTACCCGCGAGGTTAATCCCTGCGTATAAACATTGTTTCATTGGGGCAACTGTTGTTGAATCAATGCGCCTCTCTCCGAAAAAGTCTTTGTTTCTGGTTAGGTTTATCACACCGCCGGGATGGAGTACGCACTTGCCACCTGGAAGCATCTCTCGGTGATACACGTCGATGTACTACTCCTTTAGGAACGGATCAGTGATGGCCACTAAGTTCTTAACTGCCTCGATACGTAGGGGGATAATGAAGGGGTAAATGGGGGGTGGTGTGTGTGTGGGGGTGTGGGGGTGGGGGGGGGGGCGGTGGTAGGTAGCGGTCCAGGATGATGCTTGGATAGATAAGGATCATGCACGTTTGTGTGTACACGAGACCTGTTTCTTCAGTAAATCACTAAGTATATATCTTGCACTCTCTCCCAATCCAGCTGTTCTTTCAGTGATACCTGTGTATAGACTGTGAGCAGCCTCAGTGAAATGATGCCAGGGCTCAACAACTCCAACCAAGATTCGGTTCGACCCAAGAGTCGCAGGAACAGCTATGTATTACAACGTTTATACAAACTACATTCTGTACTTGGTGCTGGTTGTTTTCTTTTTATATCACGAGTCCAGAAATGTCCTGAAGTGCCCGGTTCACGTGAAACTGAATTCCTGATATTTCCCATTTAGTAGAATTTGAATATTTTCTGAATGATTTAAGAAATCTTTTCAACATCCTGATTCAATGCTAGAATAAGCAATGTGACGTGCCATTTACAAACTAATGTTACGCTGAGGATAGAGGTTCTTCATTGATTGGTTTATAACATTTTCAAGTAATGACAAGTAATGGAAATGTCGAAAACTTTGCCTGGAGGACTTGGACATCCTGGTAATATTTCTTCTCGATTGGTTTTGCTCAAATGACAATTTGTTTTCGGCTAAGGATAAATCTTCCTTGAGGTGGACCTCACAGCTCGATACAGTCATTTCCTAGAAAAATAATTTCACTCAAATAACCCAAATATTAAGCAGGTGTATAAATCAAAACAACTGTCTGAAACATCTGTTGCATTTTCATTTCTGCATCATATTTTCTTTAACTGAATGATCCTTTGCTATGCTCTAGGTTTTGCCCAAGCTACCTGTGCCTCCTCTGCAGCAGACTTTGGACATGTACTTAAATTGCATTCAGCACCTTGTTACAGCAGAACAGTACAAAACTACCAAAGCCATCGTAGAAAGATTTGGAGCTCCAGGAGGGATTGGAGACTTTCTACAGCAAAAGTTGATGGAGCGGAAAGAAAGTCAAACGAATTGGGTAAATGGCATCGCTTTCCAATTCCAATAGAAAATCCGTTCTTTGTTTTATGTTGGCAGAAGGGGCAGAAAGATTCACATTGTTTATACTGCAGTTGGGTTATTCATAGGGCATGCGATACAATCTATTTACCTTCCATTCGGTTCCAAAGGGGCCCTGCCACTCTTACATTTCCCTGACTGATGCTTTTAAGTCTATTTCAGAACTGATTCGTCAGTGATTCCAGAGTTGCGATGCGCCTCCTTGGCTGACAGAAAGTTTTAAGAAAAAAAATAAGCAAGGAAAAAAAAATACAGCACAATGATGAGAGTAGCAGGAGTCCAAGAGAATTCTTATTGTTAAGTCTCAAAGGACGACAGCTCTCAATGGAAATAAATCCTATACTTTATTTTGATGACGAGTGAAATCAAAAGTAACATCAAAAGTAAGATAAAAGGACAGAAACCATTTTAAAGTTAAAGACAACAGTAGACCAGAAGGTAAATCAATCATCCTGTTCATTCTTTCAAAGGTTTACGACTGGTGGTTGGACGAGATGTATTTAAGTAATCGAGTTCCACTTCCCGTGAACTCAAATCCTGGAATGGTCTTCCCTCGACAAAATTTCCGGGATGAAGATGACCAACTTAGGTATAAACCATATGCTGTATTTTCATATAACACGGCAGCAAACCAGCAGCACTATTACAGCACCCTAATGCGGCAACTCAAGTACAGTGTGTGTTTCTTTACACAAAAATGTAGATTCAGACAACGTGATGTAATGCATGTTTACAGCGACCAACTCTTTGTAAGCTTTATTACTGAGGTGTGACCAGACCATAAAAGCTTGTAAATTTATTGCTGATAAGATCTTAACTGGTTTCAACAGACTTCGCCGATTTGATTCAGTATCCAAATATATTTCACACAGAAGTGATCCGTTGCTGGTGTTAAACGAGTTTCTGTTCTTATTTCTGCAAGAGGCTTGCGGCACAGTAGGAAATGGGTTGTTTTCTCATTGCGTTGCCGCCATAATTTAGTACAAAATAAGTTTGTCTTTTGTCTCGGGGAGACATGCGAGTATTTGAGCGAAATCTCGAATTATTTCTGCATCCGCTAATCCGACTTCATTCTCATGGATAATAAATGATGCTTTAAGCAGTCTCCCTTGGTGGGATCTCCACCCAGGAAATTCATGTGAATAAATCACACCACGAGGATAACACTATCTATTTTTCTGTATTTATGTAGGTTTGCCGCACGTCTCATTTCTGGAATATTGGATTACAAAGTCGTGGTGGATGCGTAAGTTCTTAACCGTTTTGTAGTCAAATAAATGAATGATTAAACGGTGCTATATTCCCATCGCATTCGAATTATTTGGGGAATCTGTCCTGCTAACCTTCCCTTACTTTGCCCAGCAATCTCCAGGGCTATTCATCAAATAAACAGGTGTCATAAGCATTTAATGCATTCAACTATTTGTTGCATATTCGCACAGAATGAATGCGAGCACTTGATCCAACACACCGAACAGGTTTATTTGCAGTTCAATCGTGTACAGCAACATATCCTACCATATTCCGTGCACACACACACATTACCTAAAATTCTGCTTTAGATATTTCACCTTACAACCATTCTGAATATTGTCCTTTTGTTACGACGGTCTCCCATAATCTTCAAGCAATGAATGGCCTTAATGTCCCGCGTTTAGCAGCCATTAGCGTGGTTTCATTTGTTGAACCGCACGACATGCTATTTAACAGGTGGGAAGAGATATACAAACACTGTAATTTAATCTGGGATCCATAAATCACCTGTGCTTGGTTGTGACATTATCTGAAATCGCCGACCATACCTAATCTCGGGTAAGATCATCCAAACCAATGTTTGTTAATTATTATGTGATACAGCACTGTAACCCCGAATACCTTAACCCACAGGTTATATAAACGAGTCTCAGTTTTTGCAGCACAGTGATAGTTTAAATGCTCGAGACTTCGGGTTGGACGTCGGTTATTGTGGACGATATCCGAATTGGCTTTGGGGATGAATCTTACCTGTTTGTGTTGGATGGGGATGGAAGAAGGTGATGGTGGTATAAAGCTGGAAGCAACATTAACTTCACACCCTGTTTTCCAGCCGTGCTTTGCCTATTGATTATGCCCGTGGTCAACTGGCTGGACATGCCCTGTGTATGGAGCAGTATTACAGGCTCTTCTCGTCCTACCGTCTCCCAGGTCATCAGAAAGACACCTTGGTAGCACAGAAAAGCAGCGTTATGCCTGAACCGGAACATATCATCGTGGCTTGCAAAAAACAGGTGGGTTTCACATTAATCTAAAATAACAATGCGTCTAAATTAATGCGAATCGGGTGTTGCCATTGACAGGACTGGCCGAATAGGCAAATGCATAAAAACGAGTCAAAAAAGCGTTGATGGCAAAGTGATGAAGTCGTCTGATTGCAGAGCAATTAAAGTACAAGCATTGGCTGTGCTGTCGAACACATGAGTTAACTTTTCGTGCCCTTCAATAAAAAAGACGACACTCGCTAAATAACCCCAGTAATAAAACTGTTGCTGTTCACCTGAGATTTAAATAGGTGCTTTTTGAAAGTGTAAACTGCGCATCATTTTCTAGCAATTTCAAGTGAAAACGTTGCCTCCTTCATTATTTTCTGATTACATCCGTGTTTTTGGAGATGAGGGCCAACAGTTGGGGTGGCCCTCATTTCCCAAATCTCCCTCAGTCCATCCCCCTATTCCTCCAGATGTTTCCCATCTTTTGAACACCTCACCCTTTACCATCCCTCCTCTCTCTCCTTCAAAATTCTCCCAGTTTACCGCCCCCCCCCCTCCCCCCAAACCTCCTGACTCCTCCATCGCGGATGTCTCCTCTCTCCTCCCATCCCTGACCGTCTACACAAAACGCCTCCTCAATCCTCGCTTCCGATGCCAAATGCGAAGAGGTCCTGAACTTCTTTATTTCTAAAGTTGATAACATCCGCTTGGCTGCCTTCTTTCTCACCCCCACCCATGCCCCCCCTCCCCCCTCCCCCATGCCTCTTTCATCACTCTCTCCTCCCAAGACTCCTACCACAGCCTCCACCCTACACTCCCTTTCCCAATCTCTCCCTCCTTCCTTTTCCTCCACCATCACCCAGATGAAGCCCACCACTTGCTGCCTCCATCCCATCTCCTCCCAACGTTTGGACACAACTACCCCTCCTCTGCCCACTGCTGGCTGACACAATCAACCAGTCCCTCTCCTCAGGCACTGTCCCACTCCCACTCAAAACCGCTGTCATCACTCCTCTTCTTAAAAAACCCACCCTCAATCCCTCCAACCTCACAAACTTCAGATCCATCTCAAACCTACCCTTCCTGGCCAAAGTTTTGGAATGCATCATTGCAAATCAACCTTGCTCACACCTCTCCCTCCACTCCCTACTCGAACCTGTGGGCATGTTTTCGCCCAGCCCACAGCATAGACAGTAACAAATTACACCCTCTCGCTCTCTATGACCAGAGCTCACTCTGCTTCCTCGTTCCCCTGGACCACTCCGCCAGATTCGATAGTTGATAACGCCATCTTCCTCCATTGCCTCTCCTCCCTCATCCATGTTAGTGGGACCGCACTCGCACGGTTTGAGTCCTACTTAACAAACCGCCAACAATACATCTTGGCAAATGGTTTTTCCTCCCATCCCCACCCAGTTTGCTGTGAGATACCCCAAGGCTCCATCCTTAGCCCCCTTCTTTTCCTTATCTACATATTCCCTGCAGACATGGGGTCAACTTCCACATGTATACAGACGACACCCAATTCCACTTCTCCTCCTCTAGCTGTGACTCCCAGTCCACTGATGTCCTGTCAGATTGTTTGACGGACAACAAGGCCTGGATGAGCACAAATTTCCTGCAGCAGGATGTCGGCAAGATGGAAAACCAGACGCTTTGGCTCTAATCAACGTCCTCTCTCCTATGGGTCTGAACTCCTCAACTTCCCCGAGCTCTCCCTCAGACTCACCGAACCTATGTACAACTTAGGCATCAGGTTCAATCCCCAGGTTTCCTTTCCACCAAACATCTGTTTCCACGCCCTCGCACCTCCCTAACTATCTGATTTGCTTACCCCCCCCCCCCCCCCCCCCCCACTTCTCCAACTGCTGGCTCCTCTCAGCTGACTCCTGCCTCATGTTTGTCCCTCGTCCCCTCACCATCGGTGGGTATGCCTTCAGCCACTATGCCCCAAAACTCTAGAACTCTCCTTCAATTCCTCCACCTTGCCCCCTCTCTCGCCACCTTCAAATCCCGCCTAAAGACCTTCCTTTTTGATCGTGTTCATGGTCACTTCCCCCTTCCCTTTCCCCCTGGCTTGTTGTCAGACTCCGCCACTGTCAAGAGCTCCAGGACGCTACCCAGCGTGAAGGGCGCTATATAAATGCAAGTTTTTTTTTCCTACAGTTCTTTGTTCTGGATGTTGTGATAAACTTCAGACGTTTGAATGAAACCGATTTGTTCACCCAATTGAAAAAAATAGTGAAAATGGCGGAAACCGAAGAAGAATGCTTGCCCCCAATCGGACTGTTAACCTCAGATGGTAGAACTGAATGGGCTGAGGCAAGGACAGTCCTCCTGAGAGGTAGGAAACAAGTCACAGAAAAGGCAGCTTTCAGTCATGTTAATGTGTCACCATGATTCATCCCTCCAATTTATTGATCCTAATTCAACATTATTTCCTCACGAACAAAAGTCAGAACGTGCTGTACAGTCATACTTCCTTCTCAACAAAAGCAGATTGCATTTCAGATTGGAAAAAAAACATGTGCTTTTAAATATATGCAAAAGATATTCCCAGTATAGTCGGGTACTGTTTTGCAGAACATGATTTGAAATGCAAATCCCAAGGAACGAATGCCACACTGTGTTTTGGAGTTCATTACAATCTCTGCATCTGAGCCCCAGGTGTCTCTTGCTTTAATCATTTTGGAATCTTTTCACACGAGCCTAGTTTTTTTTTAGGCTTCTCCTCCACACACCCTATGCAAAAGGGTTGAGCCAATGCATTGTTTCAACTCTGATCAAGGGGCTACACTCAAAACTACGACTTTTTATTTTTCAGATGCTAATTTACCTACTATAGATTTCTATTTTTTTCATTAATAATTTACTTCATAACTTTCCCCTATGTAGGTTAAACTTTAAAGTTACTTTTGAACGGGTGATTGAACCAAAATACTACTATGGCAAGATCTCTGTGCCCCAACTCCATACCGATGGACTCAATACACTGTCGCTTATAAATTACATCGAATGATCTGAACATGTGGGTGGTGGAAAGAGATGGTACTGAGCTTCAGTGATCAGCAGCCCACACGTGTCACAGACAATCAGAGAACCAAATCCATATAAATTTCTTGAATGTAATCTGCCTCTCAGGAAAAACACACAGGCTTTGCACTTGATCGCCCTGAGACATATTCTGTCAGCTCATTACCACTATGGGCAAAATCAAAGAATCTCGAGTACAGATCACACTGACAAAGAAAGGTTTTCTTCTTCTTTAAGATTCCACAAAATCTTTAAAATTTTTATTTCAAATGAATGCCGTGTAACCTTAAAAAAATTGTTTTCGAAAACACTACTGGCACCAGCTGCAGTGTTAATAATTAAGCATGCGATGATCCACATGCATATTCATACTCGTTTTTTGAGGTCGAGCTGGTGGTGAAATTCGAAACTCACCAAATGAATATTAGAAAAGAGCAGGTACATTATATGTAATAACCAGCAGGGCATGAAAATGGAAAACACATTTGACTAATCAATTGAAAATATTTAAACCCTATATATTGATTTTAATTGGCTATACACTGGACACACCTTAACTTTCATCTAAAGGTAACTTCATGCCAATATCTGCATTTCCTCTGAAAAAAACTGCAAATATTTTATTCAACGTATGCAACTTTGATACAAATTAGGTACTCAAAATAAAATCATTTGTCAGCAATATAGCAGAACCTACGCAAGCACCTCATAAATTTCTCCATTAAACAAGAAGAATGTGATATTTTCTATGACATAAACTTTATTCACGATTGCTAAATCTATTAAAAGACTACTATGTATGGGGGTAGGGTAAAAGATTAAACCCATAGACATATCGGTTTTCTTTGAAATGCAGTCAATGAATTTGAATTTCCTGATAGAGGGCAATATTTGGTTTTCTATTTAGAGCTATATTAACATATCTAAACCTGGAAATTTGTTTATTCATCCATTTGATTATTTATCCTGGTAGAGGGATGAGCTAGCAGCGATCTTGTTCTAACCAACAATTTCTTCACCAAACTGGTATAATTGTAGGCCGGTTATATTATAAGCTTTGCAAAGATTCCACATGAAAGTTACATTCAATCAACTCACAATATCAGTGACTGGAATTCTACACCAACGATCTTCGAAGGATCCTATCGAAACAAAGGTAGCATTAGACACTTCCAAAAGGCAGTCTCATGCTGTATTTATATGACAGAATTGAAGCAAGTATAGCCATAATGTTATGAATGGCATTTGTGCTACAATTGAATCTGCCCTATTCATATTGCGCAGTGATTCCTTGGAACCTGCATGTGTGCAACCTTACAGCTTGTTTAAAAGTGTGTTTAAAAGATAATTACAATTAAGTTATAAAATGCAGGGATTATTATTAACTATTCTTGTGGTCAAGTACTACAGATAAGCATGTCATCAATGCTTCACAAATTAATCTGGACAATTGTTGGGCGAGACCCAGAGTAAAAATGTTCTCGTCCGAATATTGTCACAGGATTTTTAATGTCCACCTGAACCTGTAGGCAGGTCCTCAGTTTAACATCTCACCCAACAATACAATATCCGCCTTATGACCCTCAGTGCCGTATCAGTCTGGACTGTGAACTTTATATTTTGATTTGGAACTTGAACCATAACCAACTGACTCATAGACAACAGTGCTATTTTTAACTGGGCTAAGCTAACAAACACTGATGGATGTATTGGTACAATGCGTAACCCTAAGGGTTTGAAGCCAGGTGGATATGATTAGCTGAATGTAATGAAAGTAAGTTCCCAGATAATATTCTAATAATTCTTCCATTTTATATCTAACTCTAGTTGGAAGATACAACTTTAAGTATTTTGTGCAGTGAAAAGTTGTTGATTTAGTTGATAAAATTCAAACTCTTTCATTGCAGACTCTACCAACCGAGATTCTCTAGATGCAATCGAGCGCTGCATCTTTCTGTTGTGTTTAGATGAGGCGAATGACATTGAACACACAGATACAAACCTGGCTCTGCAGATATTACATGGGGGAGGCTGCCACAAAACTAGTGAAAACCGCTGGTATGACAAAACCATGCAGGTATTAAACATAAAATGATTTATGCAATTATCTATCACCTGTGAGGTTTATTATTTAATTCTAAATAATTAAAAATTCTTAAAAATTAGGGTTGTCTTCTTTACATTACACTTCAGAGTTAATAAGTGCAAATTTGCATTTTAAGGAAATGGCATCACAATTGAGATAATATGGCACAATAGATGAGGGTGGAAGGGAAATCATAGACATAAACTCTACCACTCATAATAGTGATAAGCAGTCCCCTTTAAAGCTACAACTTATATGTACTGTCCAAAATTGTGATAATATACCTAACAATTTCAAGTGGAGACAAGATTTTCTCAACTACTGTAAAATGAGTCTTGTGGAACATTGGATGCATAGGCTAGATGAACCCACCTGTATCTGCGTGAAGCATGTAAAGTAAGCAGAATACATGAACTTTAGTTGTGGAGAATAACCTCTACCCCACTTGTGCTAATAATTCACATTCTGACTTCATTATTCTCAAGCTAACAAATCAGCCTGGTGAGGTATAAATTGGATCTCACAGCTCTGCTTCATACATGTCATTTGCTTCCATTTGGCAGCCGTGTAGGTGAAATAAACAGCAATAAAGATGTTAAAAAACAGAGATACAGTGATATGGCCCATTTTGCGCTACTTACCTAAACTCTGGATTATCTTCTAATGTTTGAGTGTTCTCTTGCAATATCAAGAGCTCTCTCACATAAGAAACACCGCATTTAGTAGTGTGCAGTCTCAGTCATGATAAATGGTAACTTTTGCATGGAAACTTTTGCATGGGAGCAACTGCTGAGGTTACAATAGGTGCAATCAAAGAGATAATCTTCAAGTGGGATTTAAAGATAGATAAAGAAGAAGTGAGGTGGGATGATTGAGGCGGGGAGTTCCAGAGGTTAGGGGTGTAGTAGCTGAAACCAAAGCCACCAATGGTGGTTTGAAAGGGGTGGGCTGCTGTTAGCTGAGTGAAGAGGGTTGGAAGAATACAAGCAGATCAGGGTGCAAAAGGATTTGTATGTGAAGGTGTGAAGTCAATCCTTTTGGAGAAGGGTAGCCAGTGGAGCTTGGTGAGGATTGGGGTAAAAGGATAAAATATAGTCAGATTTGTATTGGGGTTTTACAACAATAGTTTCAAGCCACCTGAAACAGCCATTCATTGCTAGAGACATATCCAACAAAAAATCTGCTGTTTTAGGAATTACCAATTAATTGTATGGTTTGAAACATTGGCTACTCCCTGTTCTGATGAAGTTGAATAGTCCTTAAGTCACTCCAAGGCTAATAGAGTTGCTTGAGAGTCTGTTATGCTCTTGGCTGTTTAATAATATTAAAAACAAAATTGGGAATAGGCATCTGTAAATGCATTTGTGCAAAGCTCTTAGTGAGAGAAGATAATTCAAGTCAGGAAGTACAAAATCAGGTTCATTGCTCCATTTCACTCTGCTGTTTGAAGTGATATTGCATTGCTCCCAGCAGCATAAAAAGGAGCATTAATAATGTAGCCTTACAACCTTATAGAAATAAATACCTCTCACAGAGAAGAGATTAGTACAAAACAGTGACACATGTCCACTTTTTTCTCCTAGTTTGTTGTTGGAAGGGATGGTTCCTGCGGCCTAGTATATGAACATTCACCAGCAGAAGGGATTGCAGTTGTACAATGTGTTGAACATCTACTCTGTTACATGTATGTAATGGGTTTACAACAGTAGTTTATATTTTACTCAACAAAAGTTTGGGGGGAGTTCAACTGAGTACAATTTTATTCATCACTTAATATCTGTGATTTCTTTTTTTAAATACAAACTCTTCAAATTTGCTATTAGGTACTTGTATTAGAAATGTTGAATGTATAATAGAAAAAGAGAGGGGATCACAACTTTTTTCATCAATAAGGAGTATTCTCCACATTTTCCATTTAGTGTATGTAACAAAAGCAGAACAAGATTGTTTTTAAGATTTCTTCTTTGTGTAAAGCAAAACATTTATGCAGAATAACAAGAGATCATGAACATTGTTGCATTTTATGAACCATTCTTTTAAATATAGGGAACTAAATAAAACAAAAATGGTCTATTTTGTTTAAAGAGTGAAATTGTTGTATTACAAATGATACATTTCGGGAAACAATGGGAGCAATAAATTGTACATTTCACCAAGAGCAACGGATAATCAAACTAATTGTGTGAGGTTAGTGGTGACTACTGGACAGTTAGATTTATTTAAATTTAAGAGAGCAAATATCTGTTGCTTGTGTGGATAAGAGGTTGGGACTTTATCATATTCAAGTCAATAACCTTAAGTTATTTGAAGTCAACCCGTTAAAAAAATAATAACATTGGTCACCTCAATCCACGATTGTTTGTGGGATGCTGCTGTGCGCAATTGGCTGCTGCGTTTTGCCCACAAAATACAATCAACTCATTTTACTGTATATTCCATGAAGCGCTTTCAGCCGACTTGAAGACCTTGATAAAGCGCTATATCAAATGCAAGGATTATTATTATTATTGATGTTGTAAGATATATCAAATGCAAGGATTATTATTATTATTATTATAGGTCTATGTACAAGATTACTGATAGAATTATCTTGCAGACCGCAAATAATGAGCATTTCAGGGTATGTGTGATGTATCTTACAGTAAAGAGACCGCAAGGAAGTTAGTCCGAGCTGATTCTGTCTGTGAGTTACCTGCTCCAAGGAGACTGAGGTGGAAATGTGACCCCGAAATCCATGGATATTTATCTTCAGCAGCTGAAAAACTGCACAGGTACCATCAAATTACATGGGATAATTCACAGGGTATTTGTTTTTTAAACAATGTAAGGAACTGCTCCTAACATCATACATGTTTAAATTGGTCTAATCCCGTGACAATGAGTTTCTCAATAATCACTTGGCAGGGCATGAAGTGATATGTTATGAGTGATATCCAAGTGACATTAAAGAACTTTAAATTATTTTTCAGTAAATGAACATTATGGCACTTTTAAATGTACCATGGATTTTCCATTTTTCTAGATTGATAGATAACCTTGATCTAAATGTGTACCGGTTTAAGACTTATGGCAAAGACTTTATAAAAAGGCAGAAGATGAGCCCAGATGCCTACATCCAAGTTGCTTTGCAGCTGTCCATTTACAGGTGAGTCTTCAGGTTTAACATACACACACTTCAACAACATTCACTATATTCACTATGCTCTGATGAATGGCACTTATAAAATATAAGAACAAATGAAATTTGCCTACAAAATATGCAGTCACTGCACTTTACATTATGTCCTATGAAGCATTTTGAGATGTCCTCCTGACATGAAAGGCACTATATCAAATATAAGGATCATTTATTATTTATTGGATTTAATAAGAGGATTTCCATTTGTCCCAATAAGCCTGCATCTTCCAAGGTTCTTTTATCATTAGCACATAACACCTCATCCATATCCCTTAATCCCAGGTCACACTTGTTATCTCTATTCCAGGTTACATAGGAAACTTGTTCACACTTATGAAAGTGCTTCGATTCGTCGATTCCATGAAGGAAGAGTCGATAATATCCGATCAGCAACTCGAGAAGCACACGCCTTTGTGAAAGCGATGGTAGAAAGGAGAATCTCAGTCACAGTGCGTTGCTTTATCTCTCCCTGTCATTTTTCTTTTCAAAACTAATTTTTAAAAGCAACTGTCAGTATTTGTGCCTCAACGTCTCTCTCATTTTATATTTTAATTATTTTATTCAGTTAGTTAATCTATTTCATGAGTATTTCCTAATACACAAACCCACCTTTAGATATGATATCCTTATTCCCTCATAACCCAAATTGTCTTTTGTTTTTCTACCCGTTAACCTGAGTAAAAATGCTTATATTATTCCTTGTTTCCATCTTCTGCTTGTCAGAAATTGTGTGTAAGAATGTATGTGTGACAGATGAATGGTGAGTGTTTGTGTGAGCGAGTGAGATGTGCATGTAAGCATGAATGAAAGAGTGCTTGCACAACTGAGAGATTGAATGTATGTTGATAAGTTATACCAGTCAGTTTGCATTGATTGCATCAAACTGAAAAAATGTGCAATATAACTAGTCTTTGAATTAGAACAAGCAGTTTGTCATCATTTCAGGGAAATATCTATCAATGCAACAATAAAACTGCAGCTGATACAAACCAAGCTGTTAAATTTTAAAACATGGACGGCCCATAAAGCTGCGAATATTAATAAAAAGCTAACAAGACAAATAAGTGTTCACTAACATAAAAAATGAACAAACATGACAATCCCAATTTAGTGGAAGTATATACATGTGTGCAGAGTTCTGCTGTCCTCATACTCAAGTCAAGGAACTGTCACTGTGGAACCAGTAGTATAATTCAGCTTGCCAACTCTATTGTTCTACGGGACTATGTATCCGACTGATGTTTACAGTGGGGCATTAGTATGTATGTGTTGGAATTAATGAATAAGAAGATATGCGTGTCAGAGTATGTGAGGTTCTAAGTGAGAGAAATGAGTGCATGCAACTGAGTATGGATATGTGCTGTATGCTTCAGGAAAGTGTCTGATTAGCCATCTATCTTTGTTTTCTGGATGCAGGATGCAGAAAAAATGGACCTTCTCTGGTCAGCAATTGATGCACAGACCAATTATGCAGTTCTCGTAAGTGAAACTAATTTTGGTTTGCTGTGTTAGCAGATTACATGTTCTATTGGTTACATCTTCTGCAGGAAAGGAGTAATTAATTTAACTAACATAAAAGCAATAAGCAATGTCTTAAGCAACATTCACTCTGTTTATTGCATAAGTGAATGCATTTAGTACAGGATATTTGCATTAATTATGCAACAAATTGTCAATTTTCCAGTGTTTCAGTAGGAGAGTAGAAAACAGATAATTTATTATTTCAGGACACAAAAATCCTACGTTGAAATAACACAATGCAAGTTCAGCTGGTTAGAAGGAATCCAAGGAAACACATGTACTCCCTGGATGGGGCAGAACTTGCCAAGGTAGAAACTGAAAGAGATCTAGGGGTGATAGCTGACTCATTGTTCACCACATAAAAGAGTATGAGGCAGCAATAAACAAGGCAACAGCATGCTGGGTATATTCCCAAATCAGTTGAGTTCAGATCCCCAGACATCACATTGAAGCTATGTTGTGCGTTGGTCAGGCCACACCTAGTGTACTGGTGTCACATAAGGAAGGGGACTGCTCAGGCCCTAAAAGCAGGGCAAAGGAGAACAAGGGGGATGATCCCCTTTGTTGGAGGAATGAGCTGAGCAATAATTCACCAAGGCACAGCCTCTTCAGTCTTGAGAGAAGACATATCAGTGGGAATCTCACAGAGGTATAACATTAAAAATAGGATTGAGAAATTAAAGCCAGAACAGTATGCTTCCATTGTACCAAAACTAGAGAAGAAAACAAACACCAGGAAGTTTTTCTTTATCCAGAGGTCAATTAATGACTGAAACAGGTTGCCAAGAATGATGGTTGAGTACAGGCCACACTGGACTCATTTAAAAAAAAAGCTTGATGTTGTGATGGGAAGATGTAAGGTGGGTAATCTGGAAGGATGATATCAAATAAAACAAAAGGCCTTCTTCATCCAAACCAATCTTGTGATTTTGGACCAGAAGCACACTTATCTTCATAAGCATACAGTGTGATATTGACTTAAGGCATAAACATTGGAGCTACAGGACAATATCCATTTTTAAAAAATCATTTACTGACTCAATAAATAGGATTCTACCTTTTATTTCACATGCAGATTTTCACAAGTTTAAATTATGTTCTAGGCAATCACTGGGATGGCGATAGACAATCATTTGCTTGGACTGCGGGAGATTGCAAAGGAGCTGCAGATGGATTTACCTAAATTATTTACTGATGAAAGTTATTTGATGAGTAACCATTTTTCCCTCTCCACCAGTCAGGTCAGTGTCTCTTCTCAACTAATATTCATTTATTAGTAGCTTATTTATTAGTAGCTTCATTTATTAGTAGCTACAGTGGAGTCCTGTAGCTCAGTGGTTAGAGCACTAGCCTCGCAAGCGAGAGACCTGGTTTCGATTCCCAGCAGGGCGATATGTTGGGCAAGCTTCCTTACTCCACACACATGTTTGCCTAGCATTAAGTAGGAATCCGGTTGTTAATCAATTGATGGATTGCTTTTCCGGGGGTAATAATTGATTCAAAAATATATATATAATAATAAATTGGTCACTCAATCCACAACTGTTTGTGGAACACTGCTGTGCAAAATTGGCGTTTTGCCCACAATACAGTCAATTCACTTTACAGTATATTCTTTGAAGCGCTTTGAGATGTCTCGAAGACATGATCAGGCATTATATCAAATGCAAGGAAAATTATTATTTTTATTATTTGGGAATGTAGGTTATGAATGGAATTTTCCTGTTTAAATTTAGATACCGTGGGTTCGTGCCTATAATTCTTGTCAAGTTGTTCTCCAGACCTCAGTAGCAGTTAGAGGAAGTTAGCATTATCTCACAAGGAGAACAGAGGAGAAATGGAAGACACATCATCCTTAGCTATTTTTGTTGGCTCAGTCGAGTGTCTGATACATGCAGGAAACCATCACCATACTTAAGAATATCCAAACCAGACTGAGAGTTCCACGTGCACTTTCTCCCTGGAGGAACGAACCCTGCTTACCTAAAAGTGTATGAGGCATAGATATGAGCCAAGGCTATTAGGAACATTGCATTGATACTGCTGGAGTTCAACCAGCTAAAATACCTAGGTTGCTACTGAAAGCACTGTTTGGGAAGTTTCTTCATTGCTCCTACATGTTAGGACTTTGGATTGTAGGGGTAATAGGAACAGAATAGTAAGAATTCCTGCTCCCAGTGACGAGTTTGCCCCTCTAAATCCTACTGATGCTCCAGGCTGGCTGGTCCCCCCTCCCCATTTCATCCTAAGGTATATGCCGGGGACTTGTTATAGATGCGTGACAGGGGGGAAGTGCTTGCCCATTTATCCTGAGATTGCCAGAAAAATAAACCCACAGCACACCCCTGCTAAATTGATATTTGCATGAGGACATCCGTTCAGCCTAAGTCATTATGAAGCATTAAGCACACAGTACTGTGTATGAGTAAGGATTATATTTTAAAGCGATGTGGTTTTCTCATCACTGGAACAGTAATGGTAATGAAACTACAACAACAACAACTTGGATTCATATAAGGCTAACTGTGTAGTTCAGATATGTCAAACAGAATGTTGATCATTTTACAGTGGGGAGAAACAGTTGTCTGATTGATGAGTACTGCCTGGCTAAATTAGTTTTTCAGTAACTATTCTGCCTCAACGTTTTATCATTTTTAAAATAGATTTGATTTCTCTGAATGCAATAATAAAAATGCGACATGCAGGCTCGGGCTCAGGCTCATAAAACAGGAATCCACATGAGCAGGTGCCTGCATGTCCTTAATACCCAGGTGGCACTGGGGCAGGTAGTAATTGTAGTTGTTGAAACACTTGTCTGATTGAAAGGCTGTTCTCTCTTTTTGCCTAATGATATGGAGTGGGTAAAGTGGGGTAGATAATGAGTCCCTACCACAGTCTATTTTTCTGCATAATAATTAAAATTCCAACGTTCAAACATAAACACCTGTTATTGTGCTGTCCAGGTGCATGCACTTAAGTCATCAGATGATGGTATACCAGAGGGCAAGTTTGAACCAGTAATTTAATTAAATATAATAATAAACAGGAGATATTTATTTGACAAGTGCTTATGCTCTACATTTGGCCCTGTATAAAAGATGGCAAGATTGTGTTCCACATAAATATTTTAGACAGGGCAAGTAGTGGTTAATTCTAAAATTAACTCCTGTGCAATTCACACCAATGAACCAAGTCCGAATCAGGTGTGTAGTATAGTGGTACAAACTGTAAGGGTACCCAGTACTGCAAATTAGACTTCATAAAACTCTGGGCTTTTGTGCAAGGCAAACTTGGAGATTGCAGGATATTGAAAATTAACTGGGCTAAAAACATCATGGGGAGAAAGCAGATTGGGAGACCGAAGGCTCTTCTCACTTAGAGAGATACATAGGGACAAAGGGAGGACACCAAAGAGGAGAGGGACAGATGGGATGGGGAGCAAGTTGAAAAAAAGCTAGTAGAGAGAGTGGTGAGGAGGAGCAGGACCCCAGATAAGAAAGCAAAAGACTGAAGACTTGGGGCAACACACTAAAATGAACTGGAAACGTGTCCTTCTTCCCATCAAATAAACAATAAGATTTGATAAAAAAATATTTTGGGCAGCACAATTCCACTAGAAATCCAATGGAACTAAATCTATTCAAACTCTTCTCCCAAATGATCACTAATTTTTAATGGTATTTTTAACTCCCATTGTGCAACCAACATAAAATGACATTAACTAATATCAGAGTTTTGTTACCAGTTAAGCATGTCCGATGGTATGTTTTAAAATTACTTCCTGCTCAGCCACTGGCCAGGAAGCATTACTCAGGCTTCCTGCTTTAAATGATCAACTGCTGCAAATGACAACACTTTGCTCTGAGCACGATATATATATATTTGCATGTTACACAAAAACTAGAAAATATTTTTGCCATTATATTCAGGAGTAGTAGCTGCATCTATCTATTTACAACAAGTACAGGTCTGAGTGAATTATACTAATTGGCTTTCAAATCTCCAATCTGAGCAGGACATCTCTAAATCTCTGACATGTAACAAAAAAAGGCCATGAGATTTAGAATGTTAGAAATCTCATTAAAGCATTCTTTCTATCAGTCCATCATTGTTTCATAAAGTTAAATTCAATCCAAATTAGTCCATTTTTCCAACTCTTACTATAACATAAGTAATAAGGTGGATGTTGATAGGCTGCTTACATTTGTTGGTGAGTCTAAAACTACGGAGTCCTGTAGCTCAGTGGTTAGAGCACTCACTTCGCAAGCGAGAGACCTGGGTTCGATTTCCGGAAGGTGAAACCTTGGGCAAGTTTCCTTACTCCATCCACCTGATAATAATCCCTCAAAAAAAAATTGGTCACTTCAATCCACGACTGCTTGTGGGACACTGCTGTGTGCAATTGGCTGCCACGTTTCGCCCACAAAATATGCTGTCAATTCACTTTACAGTATATTCTGTGAAACGCTTTGAGCCATCTAGAAGTTGTGAAAACCCTATATCAAATGCAAGGATTATTATTATTATATTATAGAAGTGGTAAATACAAGGTAAATAAGTGTAAGAGACATGGCTAAATTTGGCCAAGTGGCCTATTTCTGTGCTAGATCACTCTTTAGCTCAGTGAAGCTACACCTTACCCCGGTTTAGCTTTAATTCCTAAGAGTTAGAAAAACACAAGAAAACACAGAATATCAAAAGGCCATTGGGGTTTTTGGCCTAGTTTACTTCAATAGGCAGCAAACAATTTGCACGTTATAACAATCCCTTGATGAATAGACAAAAGTAAAGCTTTTAAGAGAAAAGGCAAGATCATACCCACCAGTGAATAGTGGGTATCACTCAATTGTACCAAAAAATGTGAGACATTAGTTGTACGTATCCATAGCTTGAAATTTAAATTAAATCCTGTAATTTGTACAGTTCTTCACCACTAAAAAGGAAGGGAATCTTGTAAAAAAAAACTATTTTGAGCCAAACTAGAATTTCTTTCCAATGCCCCACCAAAGAGTTAATTAACATCAAGTTAAGCAGATCTGCTTCACAGAAATATATGAAAGTCTTAGAAGTGTCTGTTGGGATAGAGAAAATGTTTGATTTTGCTGTTTCTACTTGGCACACAGGATTAATCCTGCAGTGTTTCTCCTCTCACACATGAAGCCTTTACATAGATATTAAGATTGGAATGCTTGAAGTTACAAGTGATCTGAGTTACCACTTTTGGTCCAACACCTTGGACTCTTGGCTTCATATGTTGTTGGTTACATTTTCATCTATTCACCAAATCATAATTCCTCAGGTTTGCTTTGCAAGGACTGGGTTACAATGAGACGAGTGTCATTATTTCACAAGTAAAAATGCCCACTGGATTGTTTGACACATCCAAAAAATGATACACAATATTGGTTGCATACTCAATATATATCAAGCACAATTAGTGGGAGTAAGTTCAAGTGTGTGTACAAACAGAACAAACTTACAGGATCAAAACTAGATGCTAAATATTCAAATTAATATCAATGCATGAATACTGTAAAAAGGTAAGTGCATTTCTGTACTTCATCTGTGTATCATATATGTTCTACACTACAACCAAGGAACAATAAGACTTCACATTGTTTTACAGGTACCAACCACAACGGGAGCATTTCTATTTTACGGTCCTGTAGTTCCAGATGGTTATGGTGCTTCCTACAATCCACATTTGGACCACATTATTTTCTGTATTTCATGCTTCAACGAGTGTAAGGAGACTTCTTCAAGCATGTTTGCAAAAGCCGTGGAAGAAAGTCTTGTAGAGATGAGGGATTTGTGTGTTAAGTGCAATGTTAAGGCTAAGCAAGCCTTTCTGGGGCAGACAACACACAAAGTTCAAAATGGAAGGAAGTCATGCCACTAAAATTGATTAACCTATTGTTGCAATGAAATGCACAATGTCATTTCTCTATGCAAAAATATAATCCTGTTGTTGAACAAGAACTATCTTAAACATCATTTATCTGTAAAGATTCCAACAAATATAGCAACGTAACTGAAAAGAACAAACATACTGAATACTAAATCAGAATATAGCAGAGCAGTTCGATCATAAAGTGTAACATTAGCATAGAAATATATATATTATGCAAACACACAAGTGTCAGTCCCAGATGGACTGGTCTGCCAAAGAAATGTTTCCACAGAAATTTCTGATGAAATCTGTGACATCCAACTCTTTAGTGTATTACCATATTATTTATAAATGATAATGAAAAGAGAATGTATTTTACTTATTGATCAAAATATTTATTGCTCTAGTAACAATTATAACAAGATAATTTTAGTTTTAATCATGTTTTCCATGGTTGGTTATTCATCATAAATTATATGTGCAATGGTAAATGTTACAGCAGAAAAATATATGCTTAAGTATATAAATACATCATATGCCTGGTGTATGTTTATTAAAAATATTCTTGTACAAATAACACTAGCAATACACAAAAAAACTGCAAACAACCACAAATACTGTATAATTGCTATATTGTTTAACAGTTTCTGTGCAATGTCAATATTGTGTGTTTAGTTCTATAAATATTGTAACTTTAGTGGGAAATGTGTGCAGTAATTCAGATGAAACTATTTTTGTTTAAAATCAGACCTCATGCTATTTATAAATAATGATTAAGCAACAGAGAGACACTATTCAAAAAATGTTGGTTAAATATATAATAAATAATCTGATTTATTGTTACATATACATTATAGTTTTAGAAACAATAAAGAGCTGAGGAGGCAACTCTGATAGTTGGCCTTGGAAACAATGAATACATTTTTCATTGTGAAATAGATCCTAATGTTGGTAGGGTAGGTATATTTCTTGTTAAGAATGTAAAATAGTGTGAATAAGTGGAGTGTTTGTTAACTTTGTGCCCACTGTAACTTGCGAAGGCCTGTACCTCAATAATGGCAACAGGGACAGACGGCATGCTTTGAGTTGGTGCTATGCACTTAGTGAAGGGAAAACCATTAATGGGACACTTGTGCAATGTTGTTCAATAAAGTCTTTATTGTGAAAGCCTTGATCTGACTTTGTAATGATGGTTCTGTGCATGTTTATCAACCTGGGATGGGATGGCTTTTCTTTAAATTGGACCCTAGGCTAGAACGATGAACACCACAAAAATGCATTGTTGTTTTTTGAGTAGCAATACAAACATTCAGACCTAAAGTGGAAAGATTTCTAATCTACTGAAGAATAGCAAGCAGGTAGATATAGAGACAGAATTGCAGGCCCTGAACATGCAACCAAATATTTTCCTCAACTAACTTTCACTAGCAAACAGTTTCACAGGCACCAATAAAAAGCTTGGTTTGCATAATAAAGGCCTTTCGGTCCATCTGATCTCATCCTTCCAGAGTTCCCAGCCAACTTTCATCCGGTCAAACTGCTTTTTAAATACCTCACCCAAATTATTGTTCAAGTACAAGTGTCAGCGGGTATTTTGACAACACCACAGCTAATTGATCATATAAATGCTGTTCTCACCCAATGTCCATTGCCTTTCACTTTGTGCCTCTGGCTATTTTGTTCAGCCGTCCAAAATGGAAGCAGATCTAATATATTTGATAACATAGAACCATTGAAATCCACAGTGCAGAAGGAGGCCATTTGACCTTCTTAGCCTGCACCAGCTCACAGAACAAAGTTATTACTTCCACCTTAATGTGGCTTGAAGGGGTATTGTCCTATTCCCATACCCTTTCAAGTCCCACTCATATGCCTATCTGCTTCCTTCTTGAAGACTGCAATGAAATCCACCTCCACTACCTTACTAGCAGGACTTTCCACACCCCAACTCTCTCTCTCCGAATCTTGATTTTTTCTGGTACAATTTGCTTTTCAGTCATATCAGTTACAGGAAGCACTAAATTATCTATTCTTACATAATTTGTACTGGAGGATTCTGAAGTAGGTCAGAATTTAACAAGAACTAAAATGGCTTGAAGGAAGAACACCATGTGCTGAAGTAATTGTCATGACACACATTAACCTATTAAAACTTTGCAGTTCAATTTATACAAGATATATGAATATCTCCATAGATGCTGCCTGACCTGCTGAGTGTTCCCAGCGACTTCTGTTTTTGTTTTCAGATTTCCAGCATCTGAAGTATTTTGAGTTTTGTTTATAAATAAAAATAATAGATTGGTCACTCAATCCACGACTGTTTTTGGGACATGGCTGTGTGCAATTAGCTGTACAAAATACATGCAATTTTAGTAATATTTATACAGCAATAATAATCCTTGCATTTGGTACAGCACCTCATCCCTTGGAAGAACGTCTCAAAGAGCTTCACAGAATTTACTGGGAAATGGAATGACTGTGTATTTGTATGCAAATGTGCCAATACAATCACTAACAGCAATGTCCCATAAACAGCCATGAAACAAAAGACCAATTTTACTTGAGAGATTGTTGGTCAGGACACTGGAAAATCTCCCTTCTATTTTCAAATAGTGCCATGGGATTCCTTTGTGTCCAGGCAGAGGGGACCTTGGTTTAACACTTAACATTTACAAAGACCATAAAAATTGCAGCAATCTGTTTATTTATTTCTCAAGTGTGTATTTCTCATGTGTATGTGTTTGTGTTTTTAACCATTAAATGCCTGGTTTCACACAGCTGGTCCATCCCAATTTTCAGCTACAGCTGAGCAATGATGGGAATAGGATTTATGTGATCAATTAACATAATTCGTTCTCTAATTATTCTGCATTAATTATCTGCACTATACTCTGAAAAATACAGATGAAGGGATAAAATGCTACAGTTGATTAGCACAGTGATGTTTCTTGTATCCAGGTATGAATTTAGTTCAGATTGAATGAATCAAAGCCTCCTCTCTCTGTTGGTTCTTAAGGGTACTATTTGAAAAAGTGTCGGAGAATCCTCAGACAAGTTTCTAGTGGTTCTGGGCTTAATGCATACAACCACCTAAACTTACCACATATTTGTACTATCGCCATTACAAAGGCTCTGAAGGTGGCTGATGTCAAAGTGTAAAAGTCACAGTGTATTATGGAGCGTAGGCAAGAAATGGTTATCAGAAGTTGAATCTACCTTTGAACCATTCCACACATGCCCTGCTAATAATAATAATAATCCTTGCATTTGATATAGCGCTTTTCACGTCGGGAGGACATCCCAAAGCGCTTCACAGAACACACTGTAAAGTGAATTGACTGTATATTTGTGGACGAACGCGGCAGCCAATTGCGCACAATAAAATGACCAATTTATTATTGTTTTTGGTTTTGGAGGGATTATTATTAGGTGTGTGGAGTAAGGAAACTTGCCCAAGGTTTCGCCCTGACCTGCCTGGAATTGAACTCAGGTCTCTCACTTGCAAAGCGAGTGCTCTAACCACTGAGCTACAGGGCTACTGTTTAATTCTGACTTATGTTTCATTCTCAATCTCTGAGATCCATTACTTTAGTGAAGATCACTTATTTGTAAAAAAAATCCTCAAACAAGTGTTGCAAGTGTCACATATAAAATGATTTGCTTTAAATCTCTCACAATGTGAAAATTGCAAAATAGGATTAAGATTAGCAAAATATACAGGATGTTAAATGTTGTTTCGATCACAGCCTGAAAATGCATATTTTAATGTAGACTGTTAATGCAATCTTAAAACAAAACCGAATTTGATTTAAATCAGACACTACATGCTTTGATTAAACTCAAGGTACTGAATAAAATACCATTGACTGGAAATGGATATTTTCAAAGGAAAGAGTAAGAAAGGTGACACTTTAGCTTGTGGAAGGCATTATTTATGTTGACTCAAAGAGAAGTCACAATTCCTTGTCAATTTCTCACGGAAGGGATCTTCAATTAATAGACTATTATTGCTAAAAAAAATAAAAAAGACTGCACTGATTTATTAGTAGTACTATAAATGAAAAACATTTTTGTTAAATTTAAGCGCAAAAATGTTTAAATCTTTAGAGTTCTTTAAACAGGAAACAATTTCCTAATACTTTCCTAGGAATTGTAGCGCTAAGTTTAGCTGTCATTGACGCTGTTTTCATTTTATTAATGCCATGGTTTATAGATGGTTGAGAAAAATCTCACTCTAATTTATTCTGAGTTCAGAGGACGTTCATAAACAACCCAAGTATCATTCTTGTAAAGCCTTCCAAATGTCTGCGTAAATTATAGTTTAATTTCCAACCAGCTATAATTCAATGCATTTAATATTTTTTACTTTGCAAGCTGTTTTCTCACAATCTCAGAATATTGCCTGTTAAACAAAAAAAAGTGGCATACAAAGTGCTTTATTGAAAAATAATTACATTCATTTTGGGACTCAAAAAACATGCACAAGAAATACATATCCCTTAGAATTTTAGACTTTGGGAATGCATAGTACAAAAAAAAGTCTTAACTTGATGTATTTTGTGCCTGCTACTGTTACTTTCTATACAGAAAATATGGCATTGTTCAAAAGTAACTTGCAACACTGCATTAAAATATGCATACAGCAGAAGAAAAATATTGGCTAGATTGTATTGTCTCTTCAAGAATTCTAAAGCAGGTTTTACAATTATCAATGTTACTGGAACCCTGTACTTCCAGGCATTCAGCCAAATCAAAAGTAAGGATAAGAGCAGAAATGAGAACAGATAGAGCTTCCCACTTTTCTTGTTGGGAAATTTCCAATGAATGACAAAAGTCAACAAAACATTCGAACCAATGGAATAGATTTTAATAAAAAGAACTGTGAAAAATGGATTTTCAGAATCTAACTGAATTCAAACCTGGATCTGGCATGCACATGACCATTACTAACCATTTCAGTGAAATCCATCATGACAGGCAATACTCAAAACAAAACTGGCATAATGTATTGTGCAGGCAAACAGGCTATGCAAAAAAGCAAATTCTGCCAACTGGATTGGGTGTGGAGTGAAAGTGCATCTTTGTACATTTACTTCTAAATATATTGAACTTACCTTAGCATCTGCAGTATTTTGTGCTTTGAATTTATCCCCCACCACCCATCCCCCCCTATAGTCCTACAACCCTATCTCTCCCTCTTCCCTCTCCGCGATTGTTCACAAACTCAAACCCACCACCTGCTCCCTCGATCCCATTCCCACCTCTCTC